TTCATCTTCTTGGTTCTTTCGGTAAAGTCACGTAGAAGGGAAATAATACAATTATAAAAATAAAACATAGTAAAATAATTCTCACGACGTTTCCGCACAGATCCACCGGCCGATCTCCCACTCCCACTCACCATCACTCGCGAAAGAGAGCCCGAGGTAGCTGTCCCCCCCCCCCCCCCCCGCTAAGGGCAGTTGCACCCCCCCCTCACCTGGGGTGAACAATCCACGTCTATGGATAATAGTGCGGGGCGATCCATGTATAGATGCCTCGTTCGTAGAAACCACCCGGAAATAATAGGTGGGAGATATCCATGCGGAGAGCACATTTTTATTTCAAAGCTTGTACGTACACATATCCCACCAATCTCACGGCTCGCGTAAAATCCGCTAACACCCTCCTCCCTGCACGGCACGGAGCCGTCACAACATTCGCTCACTCCCCTGCTGGGAAGAAAGTAAAAGATGCGGGGGGGGGGGGGGGGGGCTCATTAGAAATCAGTGGGGTATCTGTAAATGGCTCGCGCGAAGCGACGGTGGTCGATTGAGAGCCCTAACGCCGTGCGAGATTTTGTGGCCAATCGCTCACATTTTTATCTGCACTCATTTGAATTCTCAAGGCCAGCTAAATAGCCATAACTCATGGGCCGCGCACACACACCACACACACCACACGAAATAAAGTTCAGTTCTATAATTGATCACTTGGAAATGTGCTCTTGTGTTCTCTTCGAGTGGAAAGCATGACATTCTGGAAGATATCTGAGTGGCTGTTTACACAGCTGACTTCGTCTTCTCTTCTTCCTGCGAAGGGTTATTTTTAGACGCTGACATCTGTGAACCGAATGTTGTCTTAGAGAATTCCTTCATGTGTACAAGGCAGCGGTCCCTTCGGGCTTTTTATTTACTTAACATTCTTCATCATAACTTGCCGAGTCCACAAATACTCAAATGGCAATAGATCTGATAAACGAGATCTCTGGCTATGAGCGTTGAAAATTAAGATCGGCGTCGTGATGAATTGCGCGCCTTTGGAATGGTGAAAAACCCCGACAATTTATCCTTCTCGCACGTAATAGTCGTTTTTTTTTTTAAACTGTCGCTCGCCGCAGAGACGTTGCCGTCTGGTGAAATCACAGAGCTCTCGTGAACTCTTGAGTTTGATTCTAGATTTGAAGCTTTCGTGACTGCAAGGATTCATACTCTTAGGTTTTTTCGGTAAAGTCACGTAGGTAAAACATTTAAATTAATCAAAGTAAAATAAAACAAATTGAAAAATTCACGACGTTTCGGAAGCAACACAAGCCTCCGTCTTCAGGTGGAACCGTCACAGCCACGACAGCTGTATCAAGTAAGTTGAGTTTGAGCCCGGCGGCCAGCGAGTGGCAGAATATGAATGAACTAGGAGCACCCTTGCCTGCCTTGGTTTAATGGTCTGCACACCGGACCAGCAATCCAGAGGTCGGCGTTTCCATTGAATCTCAGCCGAAAACCTAAACTCAATTTGTATTTTTTTATTTTACCAGGTGAGGTCCACTGAGCGAAATAGCTCTTTTTTTCAGACGTGACCTGGCTAAAAATGATACCCCAATGAAGTGGCCTTATTAAGTGGAAATGTATAGCAGCCAAATACTCGAAATGCATGTGGATTCTAAATGTGGAGGGAAAAACTGGAGGACCCAGATACAAATCCACACGACCACGGTTAGAGAGAGAGAGCACTCATACTCCAAATATAGAGCAGGCGTCAGGGTTGGGATCGAACCCAAGACCTCCTGTATATACCAGGCGTGGTAGTTAACATCTCGCCGCCTCGGCGCCCCAATCAAACAACTGTGCAAGTTTCCATGCATCTCCCCCACATCTCTTCCTACCCCACTGCCTCTTGCCAACAGAGCAGTATAAATGGCTGCACCAATGGTTGGTCGATTAACAGGTTGGTGGGGTAAAGTGTGGGTACTCTCGCCGTTTTCCAAGACGTCTGGCTCGCGTGGAAGAGTAAGGAAAACAAAACAAAAAAAACAACCCTCCAGAGGGGAGTTCTCTGGAGCTTCCCTCTCGTTATTGGAAGCCCTTCCGCCAGCGTTGGTGCGACCTAGTGGTCGTAGGACCTCAACCTTTACCCTTAACCCCTTTTCCCGCATATCCTTGCACGTGCCGTCTTTCAATTCGCCCGGCCGGTTTTTGCCGTCGGTCGTTCGCAGAGCGCCGTCTCGAGAGGGGGGCGCGGCATTCGTGCAGTAGAAGTTGAAGGCGCAGCCCTGCAAGTGCTTGAATCCGCGGTCCCTCGCGTTGGCAAGGGATGCCAAGATCAGAATAGGTTGATTTTTACCGTACGATTTAAGAATTGTTTGTAGTGTTCCACTCTCTACCCCCCTCCACTCCAGCACCCCCTCCCCCCCGCTAGCCCCCCAGCACCCCCTCCCTCCCATTCCCCGCACGTGTGGCTAACTCATGACAGCGGTAATGCCTCGAGTATGCCGCTTTCTGTCGTTTCCAACAAACGTGCGCAGATTTGTGGCAACCAAAGTTGCCTGGAGATATAGGCACTGTCCTGCAACTGCTCGATCACAAAGCTGCTGGCGAAGGTGCCTCCGCTAGCAGCGAGCTCGAGAGAGAGCCCCGCTCATGGAGGCTCTGAAGAGCCCCCTCTATAGGTGTATTTGGTCTACTCTTCCACTGCTGGCCTAGACGTCTTTGGAAGAGGTGAGAGTACCCACACTCTTTGACGAACTGTGGTTGTACCCAATGCATCACTGCGTGGACGTTGGCGAGGGTAGGGGATGTGTAAGAAACCTGCCGCATTCCTTATATGTTCTCAGAATCAGAATCTTGCATTTAGACTGGAAGAATCCGATGAGCAACTGCCACCCCCGGAGATCAAGTTGAGCCGGCGGACTGGTCGATTGCTCATTTTCTCACTTTTTTGCATCTCTGTTGATTTGTTGGCAAAATAAATTGATCTTTTTGCGAGGATGTGCGGGCTGAGATCCACTGCCAATCAGCCGTGCACCTTTGCAAGTCGGTCTCAAAACTCGACAGATCTTGGGGCAAATCTCAACGCATTTACATTTTCTTTTGCCCCCCCCAGAAAGAAAAAATATCGGATAAGTGGTTTTGTTTTCCTTTTAGTTTATGCGCTTCGGTATAAAATTCCACCGTCGAAAAAAAAAATTCCAAAGGCGCTTAAAACTTTCGCGGGAGTCGCGATGTTTTGGCAGCTCGGCCACCAGTTTGTGATTACATCTATTTTAGGGATTTCAAGAAAGGCAAGGGTCATCTGCGTTGGAATGAAGCCTGCGGCTTAGCCACGGGCCGGTGGGTCTGACCTCTCTTGACATTCCCTTGCTGAGCCCCACTGCCTCTGCACTCAAATGCTGCTGCCTAATACCCCGTGTGTGTGCCCTCCCAGAAACAGCCCCTCCACCTCTCTTCCCTGAGCAATCGCCCACCGCCGCCCCCAGCCCATCCCACCTCACCCATCCCTGCTCTGCCCCCATCCCATTTCCCCCCTCCCCCCCACCGCCTCACTTTCTCTCCGCTCTCGCAACCGCCCCCATAATAAGGAGGCCGCCACCCCCTTAAGACAGCCACCGCCCCATGTGACCACTGCCCCCTTCCCTCCCCCCTTCCCTCCCCCCTTCTCTCCCCCCCACCAAGTGTCCCCATCCTGTCACCAGCGCTGGCTGTTGACCCTTTCACTGCATCCTGACCCCCCCTCCTCCTCCTCCGAATCCTCCTCCTCTGTTTTCACCTCCTCCTCAACACTTTCCCATCGTCATTACTATGCCCCCCCCCCACCACCCCCGCCGCACGCCCCGAATTCCCGTGCATGCCGGGCGGAGGAGGAGGAGAGGATGGGTCTCAAGGTCACACCTGGGCGCCGAAGGGCAGTGCCAAGTTTAATTAACTCTTCGCGAGCGGATTAATCTGATTCGGTGTCTCTCGCCGCGGCTCCGCTTCTCCCAGTGGCACGGCGATCCCCCCTGATAATGCAATCTTCTCTCTGCCGCCATATGCCAGGGAGGTGCTGGGAGACACAGATAATGTGATTAGCCCCCTCTCGCTGTCTGCGCCATCGTTGCGTCTCGCCGCGGATTTCTGACCCGTAATGGGGTTTCATCGAGTCTGCGGAGTAAAAGTCACCCCGACCTCGCCGACGCGATCTCTTGCCGGTGGCTAAAGACGCGACCGCGTTTGAAATGTTACCTTGGGTCGTACGCGTCTGCCTTTAAGCCCTGCGTGCAGATGCGACTTTGTGTTTCATGTCATTGTATCATACGCAGTGTTGGTTTGATCGTTTCACGCAGCAATGCAGGGGCTTGGTTTCTCACTGGATGTTTTGTGCGTGGCTGGTAGGTTGGAGTCGGTGGTACGTGGCTAACCGCAGCACACAGTGAGTGGTATACTGAATGTGGTGTGCTGACTGCGACAAAAAAGCATAACTGAGTCCGCTTACCCGGACAAACCTGGGTGTTTATTTTAAGAATATTGTCAACAGTACGGTTTCTAACGTGTTACGTATGAATTGTAATCTTGCCTTTACATTTATTGGAAGCTTGCAAGTTTAAGGTGTTTAATAACCATTGCTTTCATTACAGCATTTTCTTAACATGATGTCTTCATCAGTGTACCCGTTATTTGGGCCAATTAACCTCATCAAATAAATATGATTGCACAACTTTAAAACATTTCTGAAATTTTTCTCGACCAAAAAAGTGTTACACTTTTAATAACAATCGGTACACATAAAGTGGCGAATTTTGCAGTCGTTGAAGTGAGCAGCTCACGTCATCCCTTCCTCCCTCCTCGGTCGATAAAACGAGTGCCACATTGCGAGAAGTTTCGCAGCGGTTGTGATGCGGACGGACCCCTCCCCCACCATAGGAATGTGGAATTTCCTCTCTGGTTCAGGGGCCTCGTTTGTGGGAGTGGAACATCCCTCTGACTGCCATTAGTATGGTTGCCACAATTCACCTGCCTGCAATTCTATGAATTCTATCGATTTAGAGTTGCGATTAAATTAATTAATGGATTTTTTTTCCAATTATTATTACATCGCTGTGAATGAGCAGCGCCTCCAGTGGCTGCAGCGGGCGACGTAAACATCACCGAACTGACAAACGTCAGCTCCTTACATGTGCAATTTGAAGTTATAGCGAATCGATTTTAACCAAAGTTGCCTTTAATTTCGGCACAGCTCTGCAGCTGCTCACAACGCTGCTGGCGGAAGTGCCTCCGCTAGCGGGAGCTCTAGAGAGAGCCCCTCTAGCGGTGTATTGGGTCTACTCTTCCACACTGGCCATGTCACGCTCTTGACTTTAGGATCTCTGACGCACGAGCAACACCGCCTCCACAAATCAAGCCCGGACACATTTCTCCGTCGGCCTAGATCTCTCGTCGGTGCTGTGCAGTGGACTGCAATAGATTTCTCCACAATATCGCCACATCTCGGTTACACATCAATTCCTGCCACATGAACACAGATGTAGAGTGCCAGACAAGTGGCAACGCCGGTGCAGCGTTTAGAGCGAGTCGGCGAGTGAGTGAGTGAGTGAAGTGGGTGAGTGATCGAGTGAGTGAGTTAATAAGTGACTTGGCAGATAAATAAGAATGAATGAGTAAATCGCTGAGTGGAGGAGCGCGAGGTCTTCCATCAACACTGTGCAGTCTCCTGCAATAGAGATCAACACGGCAAGATGAGATTTGTGCCAGATCTCGGCACACATAAACTCTCGCTGCCCGACGCAAAGATGCCGATTCCCGGACTGACCGGGTCAAACCCAGACAGGTGGCACCCCTTAGCATCCACCTCCACCACATTCCAGTGGCAACATTGACAAAGATCTCCCGTATAGCCTCGATAGTGCAACACACACACTGGTTGATTTTATTATAAAAAAGAAGCTTATTTTGAAATCGCTACGTAATTTAGTTTGGATTAGTAAAAAGAAATATATAATTTTTTGTTACCGTGTAATGTATTCTAATTGAGTCTGATTAAGTTTATGTGCCTGTCAACCCCGCTCGTCGCATCTCTGCTCGGGGTGATTCAATCTGCGGAGACGCTTGCGGCCGGGAGCGGAGCACCAACAATTACAGCACGGCTCCTGCTCGGGACACACATCTCAATTTCCAGCTCAACACTTAAAAGACCGTAATGAATTTGTAGCCAGCCAGCGTAGAGCACGCCATCATTATATATATAAAACATTGCGCCATAACGGAATCGTGCCTGTCCCTCGAATGATAAATCCGCGGCCGCCGAAAAGTGGCAGCCGCAACAAATGCGATGCAGGGCACCGATTTCAGCCGAGTCTCTCTTCTCATCCTTCTCCCTCCCTCCTTCTTGTCCCCTGGCCTTCTACGCTGTTGGGGGCCACGAACGATATCCCCGTGCGGCACTCTCTCCGATTCTCTTGGCCGGTTGCTGTCCACTTCAGCCGAGACGGCTTCCATCCCGTGCCAGTGTTCGGGTCTTGACGCCCAGTCACACCGAGGTCTTCCTCTCCCGCATTCGCTGCTTGACGCCCAGTCACATCGAGGTCTTCCACTCCCGCATTCGCTGCTTGACACCCAGTCACATCGAGGTCTTCCACTCCCGCATTCGGGGCTTGACGCCCAGTCACAGCGAGGTCTTCCTCTCCCGCATTCGCTGCTTGACGCCCAGTCACATCGAGGTCTTCCACTCCCGCATTCGGGGCTTGACGCCCAGTCACATCGAGGTCTTCCTCTCCCGCATTCGCTGCTTGACGCCCAGTCACATCGAGGTCTTCCTCTCCCGCATTCGCTGCTTGACGCCCAGTCACATCGAGGTCTTCCTCTCCCGCATTCGCTGCTTGACGCCCAGTCACATCGAGGTCTTCCTCTCCCGCATTCGCTGCTTGACGCCCAGTCACAGCGAGGTCTTCCTCTCCCGCATTCGCTGCTTGACGCCCAGTCACATCGAGGTCTTCCACTCCCGCATTCGCTGCTTGACTCCCAGTCACATCGAGGCCTTCCTCTCCCACATTTGGGGCTTGACGCCCAGTCACATCGAGGTCTTCCTCTCCCAGATTCGCTGCTTGACTCCCAGTCACACCGAGGCCTTCCTCTCCCAGATTCGCTGCTTGACTCCCAGTCTCATCGAGGCCTTCCTCTCCCGCATTCGCTGCTTGACGCCCAGTCTCATTGAGGTTTTTCTCTCCAGCATTCGCTGCTTGACGCCCAGTCTCATCGAGGCCTTCCTCTCCCGCATTCGCTGCTTGACGCCCAGTCTCATTGAGGTTTTTCTCTCCAGCATTCGCGGCTTGACGCCCAGGAACATCGAGGTCTTCCTCTCCCGCTAACACCATCTCGAGTTCCCCGCGTCACTGCCGCCCTTTGCAGACAACTACCCCTTCACCCTGGTCCACGTGTGTCCGAAAACATTGCAGCTTCCTGGACTTAAGCCGAACTCTGTAGTCTCGCGACTCTTCTCCAGCACCCGATTAGTGCAGTGAAGGACCACGCAGGTTGCCGCTGCCCACTCGTTAGGTTTTTGGGTTTCTATGAGACTAGAGCTGCTCTCTGGGAAAGCCTCTAAACCTATGCACGAGTCGCTGTCTCAAACCACGGACCGTGTAGTGATGCCCATTGCCGGCTCCCAAAAGTCTCAGGCAGCATCTTAGATATTCACCACGGGGCCACTCCTGAGCCATCCACTGGCTCACTCACCTACCTCCACGTGAACTTATACATTTTGTACGCTGAAGCGGCATGGTCAAAGACACGTGTCGATGAGCGTCATTCACGTGGGCCGTTGCAGTCGCAGGGGTGAGGGGTGGGGGGGAGCTGCGTGAAACTAACTTGTGGGCCGCGTGCGGCTCGCGCAACGGCGTTGGCGGCGGACGGGTTCCGCACCCTCGCTCTCGAGCGAGCGCACCTGCGACGTACCAGCATGGCCCGTCATCACGAGGCATTCCGCTGCGGTAGGGCGCTCCCCCCGCGGCCGCACGGACTGCGGTAGGGCGCTCCGGCGGCGCACGGCGGAGCCGCGATGACAGCGCCGCAAGCCGTGGCGGAACCGTTGTCTTGTTCGATGGCCGTTTTTCTTTTTAGAATTTTTTTGTAACGTCCGTCTGTTTGTTTGCGTGCGACGTCACGTGACCGCCGGTGGCACGTGCAAACGAGGGGGCCCGCACGCTGGTGGGCCGAGGGAGAGGACGTCGCGTTTGCGAGCGTGAGAGCCTGGCTCACGAACGGTCCTAAGCTGAATGATCCGTGGCTGTTGGCGAAACTGACGTCCATCCGTCTGTTCGTCACCACACGCATCACGAAGCTTCCTGTGCAGGCAGGGCCTAATATCTCGCCGAATATTTTCTGCTCGCTGGTAGACTGGAGAAGGGTAGATGGCACTCGACTTGTAAACATGACCACCATGGTAGTCATGTTTGCAAATCGCGTGCCATCTACCCTTCTTGGGTGCGGTGTGCCAGACGCGTAAATATTTCAGTCGGGACGGACCCTTTCTGAAATTGAACTCTTGGTGAAGGCCCTTCCACCAGCAGTGGCATGAGAAAGCAATTGCAGGGCTAAACCTTTACCTGCACTCGGAGAGGGCATTTCTAGATGGTCGTCAGGTGGGTTGGGCTCTGATGTCCTCTGTGGGGTGGGGAGGGGGCGAGTGTTTATGATCCCATTATAATCAGTGCAAAACATTTCTAACGTTCCGCGTGTGATCTCCACAGGCAAAATACAAATTACGAGTCTCCACTCATCGGCGGAACTTTGTATAAAAGAGAAAGAAAAAAAACGTGACAATCTGCATCGAGTAACAGCTTGTTTAAAAATCCTGGATTTGTAAGAATTTCCGTAGCAGATGGTGAGACGTTATTGACGCAAAATAATGAGAAACAAAACATGGCATCGAGAAGGGAAAAAAGAAACACCAAAGAGAAGAAAATAAACGCACAACTATTCTCAATGAACAGATTGTGCCTCTGTTTAAATCCACCGTCAGAAGCGGGAATTTTCATTTGTGTCTCTCTGCCGTAGCACGCTGCCCGGAGTGTAACGGTCAGCACCCTGTGCTTGCACTCGAGATGTCTCCGGTTCGGTTCGATCTCTCGTCGTGGCAGTTCAAAGAACGGTGCGAGGGGAGGCAGTCTTAACCCCCCCCCCCCCCAGACCTCAGCCCACCCAGCAGTCCACATGGGCTACACCGCAGTTAGTCGTACAGGACGTCGCGTGTGGTCAGGTAAATTGTGGGTAACTCCAAGCCTCTTCAAAGACATAGGGCCAGCATGGAAGAGTAGACCAAAACCCCATCCAGAGGGGATCTGTAGAGCCCTCTCTAATAGGGGCTCTTCTGGCAGCAGTGGCACAAGAAAGAAATTGTCAGGGCTGCGCCTTGGTCTTTTCTTCTGCGTCCCAGCGGCTTGTGTAATTGCAGATATCAAAAGTTCTTAGTCTGATGAACAGATCAGAGTCATTTTTTTGCGAGCAAACTGTGACAATGCAGTAATTGGTTTAAGTAACCCTGACCCCTCCGAGTTGCGTCGGAAGGATTTATTTGATTAGGGGAGCGTTATGAGCATTGATGGATGGCAAGGGTGCGGAAATCAGTCACGCTTTGATAAAGTCAAATGCAACACTTTATTATACAGTGTGTCAAATGCCACGTGCCAGGGATGTCACGTTATTAAACGCCAACCCCGCCGCCACCTAAAGTACTGAACCGCCGGCTCGCTCGCATTCTTGAGCATAATGTTTTGGTGTTTTGTTTCTGGCTGTCACTGTGAGGAGAGTAACTTAACCGTTAGCAGTCAAGGGAGCGTGTGCGGTGCATACGAGTGCCCTCACGTTTGCACTGATTCACTGCTTCATTGCTTGTTCATTGATTAATTGGTGCTTAATTCATCCTGGTTAATTCATTGATCCATTGCTTCATTGGTTCCTTCATTGGTTTATTGATCCATTGGTTTCTGATGCCTTGGTTCATTCATTGATTTTTTTTGGTTCATTGTTTCATTGAATCAATGGTTCATGACGTTTACGCTCCACACGCGAATACACGCGAATACATTTCCTGAAGAAGCTCCCCGGCACGTGGAGCGAAACGTCGGACGTCGTGCCAAACGACGCGACAGCTCGTCTGGAGAGCCGTGTGCAGTGCAAACACCTACGCGGTGGACGTTTTGAGATTCTTTTTTTTCTTTTAAGTGGGGGCACATGCGCGGTTCACAAGCAAAGGGTCGCGTTTGGGTTAAAACGTGCAAACTCAGAACTAATTGCCGCTGGGTTGCACGGAGCAGAGTCACATCCCCCCTTTGTGTGGGGGGCTCGGCATGACGGTGCTCAACGCTCCGCTACCCAGAGCTGTCGCCTCCCCTGAGACGGGGGGGGGGGGTTCCAATCCGACCAACGCCCATCGATCCTCCCCATCGGTATCTATGGAGCCAAGGTCTTGACGGCCTAGCGAGGGGGCCCAGTAGAGGGGGCCCAGTGGGGGCTCAGCGGGGGGCCCTTTAGGGGGGCGCAGCCGCTGTAGGTGTCGTGGGTATTTCTGGGCCCTACCTGAAATGTTCAGATTTGTCAAAGAAATTCCCGCAACATTTTGCTCCTCTGCTAAGCAAAGGCACACACATACAGTCACACGTGGTCTCCACGCACACACACAACATGTACACATTCACACATGCACCACCCGTACGTACACAGGCAGCACACACCACACACACGCACACCAATAGGGCACCACGACGAGCACGTTGCCCCATGAGCTACTTCGCACGGAGCCTACTTGACTTCATATTCACAAACATTTGGAATGCTTTCCAAACAAAGTGGAAAGTCTTTTTGGATTTGCTCCATCCGTCCGTCCGCAACGGTGGGGGGGGGGGGCGGCCATGATAACTCTCGTCAAGATGACCACGTGTGGATGAACGCTGTGTATAAAGTTGTGTTGCCTTTCGGGGCTTTCCCTGGTGACTAACTGGCTACATTGGTCAAGGGGTTCACGCCCAAAACAAATCGGAGCATCAGGGCTACTTGCAAAATCAAAGATGCGTTCCCCCCCCCCCATCCTTCCCCGACGGCTTCCGTACATCGAATTCGATACCGCCCATGGCACACGTGTGTGACACTTGAACCGGCACGACCTTAAATCCGCGTGGCGGTGGGCATCCAGCGGTAGATTGATGATGGTGACGACGCCGGCGATGACCACGATGATGCACCGCAAGCGGAGGAGCACGTTGGTTGCCGGGATCGCACGACGCCATCCTTCTCCTCCTGCCGCACCGCGCTCCCCCGGCCTTAGCGTGCGCGAGTAGCGTGCGCGCGTGAGGCCGGGCGCGAAACGTCGCGTGGGCAGACGACAGCGCGCGGTAGTTTGCATGCTAATAGCGAATCCAGGAGTGAGCGGCACGACAATCTGAGACGGAGGACACAGAAATGAGCCCCCGATAATTTGATGGCGAGGAGCGGCATCATTCATAGCGCATAAAGCAAACAGTGCATTGAAGCAACGGGTTTTATTGGGGCATCTGTTCTCTGCATTCCAGCAATTACAAGTTTATGTACTGTTAAATCATTAAATAATAAAACGCACGTGCGACTATTACACTTATGCACAGTCAGTGGCCGCATCGGCGGGACGCGGTTAAAATATCAAGGTGTCTTTTAGGATACTCAAATGCCAAACGTGCGGCACTTGCGCTAATCCCGATGAAATTCGTTACTTTAGAGCTCTGGCAAAGCAAAAAAGGGAGCCAATTTGAATGCTCGTGGCACTTATAATGGGGCACATAATCGCCGTGCGAATAGGACCCGGCTGTGCCCGGGTCACGTTACACACAGCTCGCTTTAATTTCATGCACCATTTGCTGATCAAGGCCCTGCAAAAAAATATTGCCAAAGACAGCGGTGAATGAGATGTAAGATTAAAATTCCTCGCGACGGCGAAAGCATTTTCTAATAACAGGCGCTTTCCATTTGTGATCTTCCTGGGCAGGTTCTGGGTCAGCGGCTTTATTAGTTATGCCGTAAATGGTTTGCTCTTCCGAAATCTGTTGCTTTTCTCGTAAAAGTTACACTCGCATCGTCCGAAAGCCTTGGGACGGCATAAAATGTGGCCTTAAGGGGGAGGGGGAGGAGGGGAGGGGCGCCGTAAAAAAGAAGCCATTCCCAAAAATAATCCCATTTAAAATGTTGTAGGTTATAAATGATGATGTATGGAAAAATTATTTATGGAGTTCTCTGTGCGTGTGTACATGTCCCCATGGCCGTTTAGATTTATTTTTTTAAGGGCAATGTATTGGCGCCACGTAATAATGGCATTCCCTTTAAGCGTCGTGGAGTTTTTTTTTTTGGGGGGGGGACCTGCATTTCATTTGCATTCTCACTTTCAAATGCCTCTTTTTGCTGATAGACACGCACGTGCGGCGTAGGTGGCACCACAACGTGATAAGAGCCATGCCGTGCCGAATAGGCAAAGGGCAGGCGAAGGACTTATTCAATCTCTCGGTGCACATTTATTTGCCGGGCGCTGTGATTGTGGAAACACGACGACACACCCACCCTGTCACTTCCCAAAACCCGACTCGGGCGGGCAGGCGGGACGATCCAATTTTCATAAAATACACGGAGAGTCTTTGAAACCTACATTCCTCATTAATATTATTGCCGGAGACAGGTGGCTTTCGTTCACGCGCCACGCCATGAAACGAGAGCCTTTATTCAGATATTTATACGACTCCGAAGTATACAATCACTGAACGGAGTGCCGAGGGGTAATATCAACGGAACTTATTTGTTACATAAAACTCGATGGACATGCATTCATTTTTTTTTCATGCAACGCCTCGGTCGAGACAATATCGGTGGCATTCACAACACCAATCGCAGACGAACGCTATCCCTGTAACTTTTATGCAACGGTAGTGGGTGGGGGGGGGTGTCTTTTAAACATTTTTCACGACGCGCAAAC